AACAACCACAACAATAATCAGAAGAAGAAGAAGAAGAAGAAGAAGAGGAAGTTGCCCTCTTCTTTGTTTCTCATTGGATGTGGGTCTGGCTAGCACCTGCCTTCCCTGTAAGTTATCCATTTATCTACCCAGGTTTTACATCTTCAGTTTAAATGGAAATATTGCCATTGACTCATCATACTTTTGGGACAAACAATAAGAACAAACATAATTCTATATACATTTCAACATAAGATGTAGGGTGTACACATAAACCAGAAATAACCTTTCCATTATATTACTTGGTTTCTTTTGGGGCCCAACTTCATGGGGAAAACATAGATCTTGATTATCCATTTTCCCTCAAATAGCATTTACTCAGGCAGGAATATTAACTCAGGTAAGCAAAATGATTATTCCTTTCATCTAAGTAATTCCACACCTACTCACCTTCCAATTGACTTTTTATAGGATATTAGTTTGCATTAAAAAAATCCATCTAATTGCATTGGATAAACACTTCACTGCTGAGCTCTAGGCCCATACTATGTTGCAGCTGCTCCTATTTAAGGGATAATTGTAGCCTCATTCTTCTACAAGGAACTAATTCTGATTTTGAAAGGATTTGTCCTCACAGTTTATCCTGATGAGAGAGAACTGGATTATTGCCGTGTAAAATAGCTGAAGAGTCCTATTACAGCTATTATACCACAAATGTTGTATATTGTTGAAGATCAAAGTACTGTAGCACACTCCATGGTGAAATGTACAAGCATGGCACACTTTCTATATTATGTAAAAAAAAATACTGCATTTTATGAGTCATTTAGTACCATGTGAGGTATCTGTGCATCCGGTATCATTTCTTTCAAACTTTCCTCATCATTCTGAAATCCTTTATTTTCTGGTTGAAAGACTTAAAATCTCATCATTTCTCACTAGTCTCCTCAGGAAATAAACTTCAGTACTCTGTGTTCTTCCATTGGAGGATATTACTTATTTCATATCATTCTATTTTACATTTAAATTACTTTAGAAAAGTGTTAAATAACCCCAGACAACTGGAAGTTCTAACTGATAAACTGGGAAAGTGTAAGCATTTCCTATCAAACCTATTGGTTTTTGAATCTTTTATATGTGTAGGAATGAGTATTGATTAGGTAATAAGAAAACAAATGAAGCTACTTGTTCCATAATCCTATTGGAAAGAAAAATCTAAGCACACAAGCATATAATAAGATGCCTTATGGTTCAAGTGGCCCATATCAGGTGCCAAAAGCATGACAAAGATGGTGGCATCAGCAATTCTTTAGAAAGTCCACCTATAATAACATATCATTCTAGTAGTCAATTGATAGATGGCTTCTACCCTTTAAGAAAAACTAACTCTAAAATGTAACCCAAGAATGTATAACCGGTAGTGCCATTTTCTGTTGAGTGATATTTTTTTGTCAGTCATGGAGCTTAATGTCGAATGATTTTTTTTAATGAAATTCATAGACACCACAGATGGGTTTAGTTGTCTAGAGGACATTTTCTGTGAAGTAACAAGTACTGTGCTTGCAATCTGGAGACATTGCCCCAACAGTCCAGATCTACCTGCGTAATACAAAGCAGTAAAGGTGAAAACAACTGCAAATTTGAAAACACAACAATTCAGGAAACTACAATTTACATGAACATGGCTGATGTTGCAGCAACAAAATGAAGTGCTGAGTATGGTCAGCAATTATTGGTTAGATTTTCCAACAGAATTTATAAAATAAAAGACAGTAAAATTAAATGTAAAAAAAATTAGGACCAGGTCTAAAATATGCCAAGCACGTCACTGACTTCTAGTATTTGTCTCATGATATCAGAATTAGTAAGAAAAATATTTCTTCATGACACACATTTTCATGGTAAAGTACATGAAGTTGCTAGTTTAGATGGCCCTGTACAACAGTTCATGCCAGTTTACTGAAGAGACACTGGGCACACTGTCAAACTCGATCTCTACAAGGGCGCAGCACTAGAGGGTGTCTTGGTAGTGGTTAACCTCAATGTCCCCTTTATCAAGACTAACACAAAATGGCAATCTAGCCGCTTTAATAAAATTCCACACTAAAGGCTTGTTAGAAATATATTTCTTTTGTGCTCATTTTCCTTTCCTTATAGATTTGTGGCTCTGAAAATCCCTATGATTGGGTCCTACTACACATGAATGGAAATACAATTCATAAGAAACCAGGGATGACTATCTTTTAAAATTGTTAAGAAGTGTCTCTACAGGTCACAAGAGGTTGGAAAAGATTTTCTTGAAGCCTACAAATTCACCTAGAGTACGAAACCATTGGTAAATAATTTTTTATTTCAAAATTACATACCACTTAGAGATTTCATGCTTGGTATTGTCTATGTCTTTATTAAATATTATAGAATAAATGGATAAATAAGTGAGCAAACTCAGCCAGGATGTGGAGACAGTCAACTATTTTATTTTCTGAATTCAGATTAACTTGAGGCTTAGTTACTCAACTTTCCCCAACATCTCCCCCATTATTTAAAATATGATAGGCCTTATAAAGGGATTATTCTTTTGAAGTATATTTCATGATCTAGTCTCTGTTTAAATGGTGAGACTAAGTAGGATTTATCCTCCATCAGCTCATATTCCTGCCATCCATGACACACACACATACCATTTGGATTCCATACTCTACATGGAAGGTCCTTGATTAGGATGGAGGACAGAAAGTATTTGTAATGATGTATGGACATAGAAGCAACTTTACCACTCAGATCTCAGGATACTGGTGGCACTATCATTTCCCCCCTCCCACTTTGTCTTTGTGAAGTTTCAGGACCACAAGCAGAAATCAAATATAAGGCCTAAGAAAGCTTTTAAAAATTGAGCATTGAGACCATATTGTAACAATTATCGTATGGGTAGAAATTTAACCCTAGATAAGTTTGGTTTAAACACAAAAGATTTTATTTATTATGGAAGGAAATACATGGGGATACATTTTAACATCTATGGTTTAATTTTGAAAGCTAATATTACAAACCACAAAACTTCAGGAAATTTTGATTATAAAGATCTTTATTAGGGAGGAGATCAAATTTTCTATTTCTTCTGTTTTGTGCCTTAAGGGCTTATGAATGTGGAGAGAGGATTTTTTTTTAATTGTTCCATCTTCTCACCTCCAACACCACAACACTGATCTTGATGGTAGGGAGAAAGCTATATTTTTGCTACTTATAAAAGTGATGAGGAAGGGGAGAAGAACACGAACACACACACACACACACAAACACAATGATTTAAGAGAAACTATGTGAAGGGTGTACAGGAATAACAAAAGTTCTAAAATGGAGAGACATGGGTGTTAATTTTATCCTTCTTACACTGTGATCCTAGTCCTCCTCTGGTTGCTCTTGGGGGGTGAATGGGGAGTGTTGGCAATCTGTATGTAAAAAGAAGGGTGTAGGGAAGCAAAACACTCTCAGGTCCTTCCTTGACTTCAGAAAGAATGGGAAACCAGGAAGGACTTCTGAGCAGCAACTCTGCATGATCTTAGGCTTTTGTGTATGAAGCTGCTCTCCACGAAAAGGTGAATACTGACCACTTTTTAAACATCCCAGGGGCATTGTGTGTGTGTGAGTGTGTGTGCACATGTGTGCCTGTGCACACTTGTGTAAAGAGGAAAGGGAAAAAAAAAACAACTTCTGGTTAATAAACAAGAGCTCCTAAATTGTCCCAACCACCAGAAGTCACAAAATTACAAATTTCCCAGAAAATAGCACTGGTGATATCTTTATTTACTCCAGGTACCAACCTGAATGATAGGGAGATAAATTCCAGATCTTAAGAATACTATTGGAGGTCTAGCTACAAAAAGTATGAGAACCCCATAAGGGGTTAGTAACAAACCTGTATGTTTTCCCTCTAGCCCGATTGTATGTTGATAGTCATTTTCCTGATTTACCCTCCAAATCATCCCTATGGTCTTTTATAAGTCCCCCGGGACTTATAAAAGCCTTCCTAACCCCCCCCCCCAGTGGGGTGTATGGATGACACAGAAGCATGAGCAAGCTGGGTGTGGAACTGAGGCAGTAGCCGAGCCACTATGAGAGCTCATCAACGGAGGACTGCTGCAGGCCCGGTGGGTGTTCGAATCCCTGGTGGAGCTACCCTCTCCCAGCGTGCCGAGTGGTCGCGCTCCCTGCGGGCTCCTGGCCCCCAAGAGCGAGGCTGCTTGGAAAAGTCACCTCCACTATGGGCAGAGAACACGGTGGCGGCGCAGTAGCAGGGGATGGGACAGCAGAGGGGCCCGAAAAATGGGTGCGCAGAGAAAGGAGTGAGGAGCTGGGCGCAGGAGGCGGTGGGGTGGGAGCAGGGTGGGGTGGGGCGGGGAGGGCGCGGGGCGGGGCTGCGGGCGGGGGACGCCACAGCGCCCCCTGGCTGCGCGCTCCCTGCCGTGTCCCAGGCCCGCCGGCGCGGGGACTCTTCAGCCCCTTTGTGTGAGGCGCGTTGGTCCCGAGGAGCGCGGCTTGGGCACACAAGCAGCTCCCCCGGGGTCCCGGAGCTTTGGCCCCAGGCCGGGCCGCGCATTTCTTCTCCTTCTCTTCCGTCCCTCCATTTTCCCACCCTGGGTTCCCAGCAGCAGCCGTGGGGCTGAGAGCACCCCTCGTCCGGCCGCGCTCGGCACCCCTCTCGGCCTGGGGCGCTCGTTCTCCTCCCCAGTGCAATTCCTCCCTTGATTTCCCCCGCTCTCCCACCCCCTTCCACTCTCCAATCTTCGGCCTCCAAGGTGGAGGAAATAAACTAAAAGCAGAGCAACTCAGAGTCTCCAATAAAACGCCCAGTCCGGAGAGCCGGAGCGCGCGTGCCGGGCGGCGAGGGGCGCGGGAGGCGGGGATGGGGGGCGGGCAGGCGGGGGGGACAATGAGCGCATGAAGTTACCTGCCCGGCAGCGGCGGCCGAGAGGCGGCGGAGCAGGCTGCGCGCTCGGCGCCGACGGGTGCGCGCCCCGGCTTGGGGGAGAGTTGAGCGCTTCCCCCCCCCCTTTTTTCTTTTTTCTTTTTTTTTTCTCCTCTTCTTCTTAAACAAACCACAAACGGATGTGAGGGAAGGAAGGTGTTTCTTTGACTCCCGAGCCCAGACACCTCTCTCTGTTCCGTCTAAGCTTCTGTTTTTGCTGAGCACTTTTTGTTTGTTTGTTTGGTGTGTTTTTTTTTTTTTTGGAAAAAAAGAAAAGAAAAAGGAAAGGAGTTGCTTGATGTGAGAGTGAAATGGACGTAAGATTTTATCCACCTCCAGCTCAGCCCGCCGCCGCACCCGACGCTCCGTGTCTGGGACCTTCACCCTGCCTGGACCCCTACTATTGCAACAAGGTGAACGTTCTGCTTTTGTTTCCGCGGTGTTCTCGCTGCGTGTTCCCGGGAGGGGGGCGGCGGAGGCCGGACCGCTTTGGGGTCGGCGGTGCGGACAGGGCCGGCTCGGCGGAGGCTGGTCTTGGGCGCGCTCGCCTCGCAGCCCGGAACAGCCCTGCGTGCGCTTGGGTAGTAAATATTGTGGAACCGCTCCGGGGGTTTGCCAAACACGGCGATTGTGCGGAAAGTGACACGATTTGCTCGGATTCTTTCCTTCCTGCTGTTTGCGACTCAGAATCCCTGCCTAGGTTTGCCGGGGGTTGGGGGGGGGGGGTTAGGAAAAAAGAAAAAGAAAGAAAGAAAAGAAAAACCACGGAATACTTTGGGGGGTGTGTCTGGGGTCCCGGAACTGAAGGAGAGTAAGAGAATTCAGTTTATTTCCCAGTTCCTTCTTCTTTTCCTCGGTCTCCGGAGCAGCGAGGGGCTTGTGGCATCCTGTCCTGGCCCCGAATTAGTTGTCGGGGGAGTAGCTAAGAGTTGGGGTGCAGAGTCCACCTCCACCCCCAGAGCCGCCCCAGTGAAAATTGTTCCACAACTCCTCTCTCTCTCGCTCTCTCTCTCTCCTCTCCCCCCTCCCCCCTTCGGGCAGCCGAGCCCGGAGTATTGATGTTACATTGGGCCCTCGGGGTCACGATTTGGGGCACAGGTCCCACTTGGGGGTGCGCGCGGACATAGCAAGTTCATTGGTAGCCCGGCAAGCGCGCCGCGTTCAAGTCCGAATCTCTGGTGCCCAGCATGGGGCTGAAGCCGGATCCCCAACTGGGCTGTACCCTGAGCCCGCTGACCCTGGGTACCGGAGCCAGCCGCTAGGGGTTCCTCCCCACTTCACCGCCCCCCCACCCCGCAGGCAAAGAGCACCAAACTGATGACCTGGAGTGGGGGGTAAGGGTGGCCCGCCTGGCTGCTGCGGACCTGGGCCCGGCCAGTGGGTAGGACAGTCAAGGTTACCTAGGGAAGGGTCTACTTTTAAGAATTCCTGAAGTCTCACCCCTCACTCCTGGAAGATTGTGCAGGCGGGGGGGGGGGGAGGGGGGGAGAATAGGCCTCCAAGAAGAGCCAAGGGCCAAGGCTCTCCTGGCCTGGGGCTTGTTGGAAGTGTGTTAGTAGTCCCACTGAAAAGAAGGATGGTGGGGCGAATTGAGTTTTCTGCTCCACGGGGCGGGCCTTCTAGACGCCCTGTTCTCTCTCGGTGTTAAACCCGCCTGATTCTCACAGTCCCCGCAAGCGCTTTGCACGCGGATTCCTCGGTGAATTTCCAGGGGGAAAAGTCCTTGGGATTACCAACATTTGCCTGGTGGCTAGGCATCTGCAAACAGCTTTGAACGTGATATCGAGGTGTTTAGCGGGCAGCATAAACATCCCCAGCCTCTAGGCCCCCTACCCTGCCACAACCGGGAGTTGCGACTCACAACCAGGAGTCAGTGGAGACACACACTGCACACGACACACACCACACACACACATACACGCACACAGTTGTGAGTTAAGTGAACCACAGACAAGAGAGGCTCCTCTACACTGTGCAATGTAAGACTTGCTAAAAAGGGCTGTGCTGGTTTCTCATGGTATTTAAGAGTTAAAGGAAGGAAACTATGTATCCTGTGCAAGGCAGAAAAGCTTTTACTTCCTGGGAGCCCTTTGGTTAGGGGCAAGTTGAAGGGTACTAGGAACTTCGGTAAGCGCGAGGGAGTTTGTGTGATCAAGTTTCATTATTTGCCAGTACTAGTTTTTGTTTTTGGTTTTTTTTTTGAGTCTCAGGCTGTTTTGACTTTTAAAACATAAGTGATGATAGTTTTATTTCTTTTTTCCAGAAATTTTGCGTATAAAAAGAACATATTGCTAGTAAATAAGATAAATACAGTAGCAGTTCTGTCTTGAAGATTAAAGACCTGTTCCACAGTTTCTAGATCCAAACGATCAGATCAAAACCACTTTGGCAATGAAACTGGACAAATCTTATTAAATTTATCAGTGATTTTAGGCTTCAAAAAGAAGGTAATGACTTGGATACACATTTCACTCGTCATTCTTGTGATGGTAGGGTCAGATTTAATTTAAAAGTTAAATGCTTTGGAAAATCAGGAATTACTTCAATATATTAAATCATTTTCCCATTAAGTGCTTTAAATAATTTTAGTAGGTTGTGCTGCGAATTGAATAAATTAATTTGGAAAGTCTTAAGAATTTCTTTACTAGCTCATTTAAGTTCCTTTTAAGTCACTCTGTATATAAGAGGCAAACTGTTCTTTTTAAATGCAAATTAGCCCTCCTTTCTATAGACTAGTTGCAAGTCTTTTATTTAACTTGTCCAGGGAATAATGGATTTTTAAAAATGCAAAGTCATAAGAGTTGTTTTTAATAGTAGGAAAAGATCTTATGGAAATGTTTTCTCCCTGGACGGGGGACCTCTTCTCCTGCCAATCCCTATATAGCAGTCTATCAAATATACTAGTCAATGATCCCCTGCTCATATTAAATGTACTGAGGTTTTGAGGCCCCACAAAGCCTAGGCTCTCCTGCTCCAACATGATTAGCATTGGTATAAGATTTCTATCCAGCACACTCTTTGAGCTCATTTTTGTGATGACTCAAGTGGGCTTGCAGAGATGTGGAAGAAAGGCAGAAGTTTGAAAGAGGTGAAGAAAGAAATTTATATCCACATTTAGTAAAAATACAAAGATGGATGAATCAGATTTCCTATCAGACAAGACTGCAAAATAAACCCTGTTCTCCTACAAGGTGCTATGGACACGTAGTTGATTACAATCATTTTGTCAGGGTGTTTGTTTTTAATAGAGTGATAAGATCATAAATTACTAATTATCTTTCTTGTAAACCTGTCAGTACCCTTACTATTTAAAGTTGGTGTGCTAAATCCCAGGGAAACCAGTACCTTTCTGTGCTGTAGTGGTGTGTAACTGTAAATATAATTTCTCAGTGACTTTTTTTTTCAATATCAGAGGAGATCCTAATCAAAACGAGGCTCTCTTCCTGACTCTTTCTAAACTCTTGGTACTTTCCAGCACTCTGGCACTATAGATTGCCAAAACACTACTTATATTTATCAGTTAATAAACTCTGTGGGAGGCAGTTTGAGAAGCAGTAGAACCAGTGATCTATTGTAAGAGCACATTATATTATGAACATATCACTCTGCAGACTTGCCTTTATTTTCACATAGCCTATGGCCAGAACAATGCAAGTGATGGTGGGTACGGCAAGCATGCGGCCAGAACTGATGGCATGATGTTCTATATAGGTCAGCCTTTGAGAGACCAGTGTAGCTCAGAGACTGGCCAGAAACATGTGGGCTGGCAGGAATAGTGTTCACTTCTTGCAACTGAAAGCCCAGTTGTATTCAGACACTGGAAGATAGGTACCGGAGTGGAGTTTCTTCTAATTGGACTATTTTAAGTTAGGAGTCTATCCCTTAATTGAATTGAATATTACCAAAAGAAATTGGATTAAATGAGTTCATAATTAGTGTTCAGTAATAAAATGTAGTCTTATTTTTTGTTCTCGTTGAAAATGTCAAATCATCAGTTTAAATAAATACCTACAGAATAATAACTGCTTTCAGTTTCTTAGTGCACTGTCATTTCTAAAGATTGTTCTCACTGATTTTTATGCTAAAACAGAACGAAGATGTGACATTTTTTCCATTTTACAACAATGTGATGTGTTCAGTTATTGCTCAGTATCTGCCCACATAAGGAGTGGTAATACAATTATGTTATGACATGGCTAATGACAGGGATGCTGACCTCAGACAGCAGTGGGAGAGGAAATAATGGGCTTTACTGTTCCCAGTGGTTGCTTTTGTGGCATGAGGTCCTGAATCTTCCTCTGGTGGATTTTGAATCAGGGAAGTCCTAAACACAAACCCATGCTAATACTAGTTGTATGCAAAGTGAAGAGGAATGGACATACAGAATAATGGGCTTTTGTAGTGCCATGAGAAAGGACAGTGTACATTCTTTCCTTATGTATACATTCTTTCCATGTAAATGCCAGGGAAAGGACCTATTTGTCATGAACTGTGCTTGAAAATGTCAGGGTAAACATTAGGTATAGGATAGCTTTTGGAAAATCACTATTCATTTGCAAAATCTTGGTTGAACTGAATTTTCTGTTCATAGTGTCTTATGTATTTACTGTAATGAGGCAAGACTCACATCTAAAATATAAGACCTATAAGTACATTAAGATAGAGTTGATAGTCATAATTTTATTAAAAATGTTAGAAAGAGGAGGAGGATGGAAAGAGGAGGGGAGACAAAGAGAGCCAGGAAGAAGGGAAAGGTTATAGACAATTTGGACCATCATGCTTGATTACTTCTCCATCAAACTCTATAACTTCTAGAACTTTGGAAAATTCATAATTGATGCTTCATATGTCATTTGTATAATTAAAACTCCCTTGGGAGTTTTATTAGCTGTCACTTTCCGCAGTTTTGAGGTCTTTAAATATGTTGTAAGTGAATTTATAGTTCTGAAAGAGCATAAACCAAGAAATCATAGTTTGGATCGCTAAATTATATAGCATACAAAAACCTTAAAGTAGCTGTCTAGACTTTGTGGGATATTTTGTTGTCACTAATTCCATTTTTAAATATCTTTAGAAAAGAATTGTAATTATCAATTTTGGGGAGATTTTGTGTTATTTATAACATAGTATACACATTTTAGAATTCTCATACTTCATCTTATATGTTGATATTTTGCTTAGAGAAACTAAGCTAATATTTAAATAGACAATTGAGTAGTATAGTTGGTATTTTTTATTTGTTTGTTCTTGTTTGTTCGTTAGTGGTACTCAGGGCCTCCAATTTGCTAGGCAGGCTCTCTACTGCTTAGCCACACCTCTAGTCCCCCTTACTTTCTCCTCTTTCTCAGGATGTGATTGCAAATGGATTAAGATCAGGAAAACAATAAAATATTTGAAATTGGAAGAAATTCTC